GACTTTCCCTGGTCAGCTGGCCGGGCCTAATTGAGACTGTTCAGCTCTACTGCACTGACTTGCTATATCAGTGACCAAAGCACAGGAGTTCAGCCTCTAGGCTAAGGAGCTCTACATAACAAGCCCTGGTGGCACAATGAGTAAGCACTCGACTGCTAACCAAAGGTTGTGTTTCAAACCAACCAGGTGGGTCTATGGGAAAAAGACTTGTCACTTTGCTCCAGTAAAGAATTACAGCCTTGAAAGGTCTATTGAGCAGTTCTGCTCGGTCACATGGGGTCACTATGAGTGGAAATCAACTCAGTGGCACCTGACAACAACAGCTCCACGTGAATGTTCTGCTTGAGAGCAACTAAACAAACAAACAGGAAAAAAAAAAAAAATGGCCATTGAGTTGACTCCAATACCTGGCAACTGCTTGTGATACAGAGTAGAACTGCCCTTCATAGGCTTTTCAATGGCTGAGCTCTTTTGGAAGTAAGTTGCCAGGCCTTTCTTCTGAGGCATCTCTGGGTAGATTCAAACTGCCAACCTTTCAGTTCAGATTCAAGCAATTAAACATATCACTCAGGGACTCCTTGAAAGCAAGTAGGTCAGGATAAAAAGAAGATATAGAAATTTTATGCTTCATTTGGTGAAATGAATTTAATCTTAGTTACAGACTGCAATATTAACTATGATTTGCTAGACTAACTCACTGAATCACTTATGTTCCAGGCATGTGACTTCATGGAGCTCATAGGATGCCAAGAATAAAAGATAATGATAGAGTTGAAATTTTAAGTACACAGGTTCATTCTGTGTAATCAGTAGAGATGGAGGCTAGGAAAGGTGCTTTAATTCATTTACGGGAACATTTGCTTGGCTGTCTGTTTCCTATTTCTGTTCATTTGAACTGTATTCTCCTACTGCTGTGATGCCAACCTCTCTTTCACTAGTTCCCTTCTCTTCCTTGCACTTTCAGTTTGGCATCCTACTGCATCCTACCTTTTCCTCATCCTTCTCCTCCATCCTCACTTCTCCTTTGGAAACTTAATTTCAGGACCTTGGCAGCCAACCACATACATGCTAATGACTCCAAGCTTTAACCTCTCTATTCTAAGCTTTAGACCCATATTTCCAACTACCTCCTGAACATCTCCATCTGATTATTCTGTGGAGTCCTCCAGTGCAGCATTGCCCAACTAAATTCATTTTACTTCTTAAACCTTTTTCATCTATTTTGGTTGATGACATGCAAGCTACCCAGTAGCCTAAGCCAGTCGTGCTGTCATCTCTTTAGACTATAATCATTCAGTTACATAAGTTCCCCTTCGAGATATTTCAAAATTGGGTCCTCTTCTCAGTAACCACTGCCATCACTGAGTTCAAATTTTCCACATTTACAAGAGTTTCCATGATATTCTCTGAAGCTGGCTCTTCTTTTCAACTTATACCTTCACACTGTAGCAGAGAAGTCCTTTATAAATGATTATTGGACTGTGTCACCTCCCTACTTAAAGCTTTCAGTGGTTTTGTATTATCTGAAGTTGCTACAATCTCAAGTGTTTACAGGGATTAGGCAAATCATGTATGACAATGAAGTGGGCCAAATTACGTTCATCAAAAAGTACTCCAAAACTGAACTCACTCCTGTGGCTTCCAGCCAAACATAGAGGGTGAACTTTTACATCAGGTAGATACAGAAAGGCAGTGTTTGCACAGGGAGACAGCTTGGGAGGGGGTGGGGCAGGGATGCATAGGAAAGAAAGATACAGAGAAGAGGTAACTACAGGGAGGAAGTGGAAAGAGAGCTGTTACATTATGGGAAATTGCAGTCAATGTCATCAAACAAAATGTGTATGAACTACTTATGGAAAATTAATTTACTCTGTAAACTTTCACCCAAATCACAATAAAAAATATAATAAAAAAACAGTACTCCAAAGTAAACACAGGAGCTTTAGTGGCATAGTGCTATAACCAGAAGGCTGGCGGTTCAAACCCACCAGCCAGTCCTTGGAAGGAAGAATGGGCAATCTACTTCCCAATAGAGGAATAGTAGTAAATAGAGGAGGTAGTGATACCTCCTGGGAAACCCAAGGAGGGGTTTCTATGAGTTGAATCGACTCAACAGCAGTGAGTATTTATTTTATTTTATTTTTTATTTTTTGGACAGTAAAAATAAGAAGGTAAAGGGACTAGGAAACTAGAGGACTGGAAATGATAAAACTAGGATGGAATGAGAATGATGACACGTTGTAGAAAATGTAACCAATATCACTGAATAAGTTGTGTAGAAATTGTTAAGTGAGAACCTAATCTGCTAGGTAAACTTTCACCTTAAAAGCAATAAAATATTATTTTTTAAAAAAGTATATTCAGATGAATTATATACTAAATTTTTATAAATTGAAGCCTTCCCATGTGGGGGAAAAGAAAAGAATGAAATGGGCCAAGCGTATAACAATAGGAAACAGAAGAGTGCATTCCTATTTAAAGAGATTCATATTCAGAATTTTTAAAAAACATGTGAGAACTATGTCTGAGATATGATGTAGCCTATAGTGCAACCTAAAGTACCGAGCATAAATTATAGAGTGAGATAACTCTCAACGTTTGTGGGGACTGACATAACCAGTGTATATGTTTTGTTTCTAGGTCAAAACATATCAGGATAAAGAGTATGTTTTTATTATCCTAATTACCTCTGTATTTATATGGAGGCCATAATGGAAAGTTTGTGGACTTTGAAATCAGTGTTGATCTAGGTTTGCCTACCACTTCTGTCACATATTACCTGTGTCATTTTGAACTAGTTCTTTAACTGCTTTGAGCCGCAATTTCTTCCTCTGTTTAAATAGTAAAGAAACAAAAGTTTTCATTGCGAGTACAAGTCATATAATAAACAGCTTTAAATTAGCTCAATGCTTGGCACATAGTAATTCTTCTGTAAAAGATAGCATTAACATAGGTAGGAAAAATCTATAGCAATTATTATGTAGAAATTGAATTTCCCCATCTGGATCACTTCCCAGAAATTGTAGTGGCCTGAAGAAAAACAAACCTGTTGGAGGCCAATATCAGGTGAAGCAAGTGTTGGAAGCCAATAGGCACGTGATTCATTCAGGCACCAGAAAGCCAGGAGCTTAGCAGCCTAGTTGACTGAAAATGAAATTTAAGCAGAAGATGCTGTTAACAAATTCATGAGCAAGATGGGAATATGGACTCTGTACAATTATGCATAACATACAAACCCTATTTTACTTTTTTGTCTATATAATCTATTTATTTAAAAAAAAAAACTCACTGCCATCAAGTCGATTCCAACTCATAGCCACCCCCTTTGGGTTTCCGAAGCAGTAAATCTTTACGGAAATAGATTGCCCAATCTTCCTTCTATGGAGTGGTTGGTGGCTTTGAAGTACCAGCCTTCTGGTTAGCAGTCAAATGCATATAAAATCTACATACTTTTTTAGTAAGAATGGCATGAACTGCTTTAATGGGTACAGAGTTTCTCTTTGAGGTGATGAAAAAGTTTTGGTAACAAATGGTGGTGATAGTTGCTTTAACATTGTAAATATAATTAAAGCCACTGAGTTGTCCACTTAATAGTGGTTGAAATGGCAGATTTTTCTGCTATATATTTTGTCACATACAAGAAAAAGAATAACAACAACTGAAATTCTAATTCAAAGGTATTAGGATATGTTGGATATTTTATTTTGATTTGTTTTCTAGAGCAGTATAAATTTGAAGCACCAAAAGAAGGAAGTAAATGTCATAGTTTTCTGTATCAAAAACATTCAGTATGATAAGAAACAAAAAAAACAAACCTTCTACTATCAAGTAGATTCTGACTCATAACGGCCCTCATTGGGTTTCCGAGATGGTAAATCTTTACAGAATTAGATTGCCCTGTCTTCCTTCCACAGAGTGGCTAGTGGGTTTGAACTGCCAACTTTCTGGTTAGCCTGAGGCACTCCACCACCAGAGCCCCTTATGATAAGAAAGAAGTCCTGTTAAATTTATATTTTATCCAGTACAAACTATATTACTTATAGTTTGATTCATCTAGGAGCACTAAAGAAGTCTTTATTCATTTAAGGAAAAGAATATATCCCCTGTTGTCAAGATTTACATTTTTCATTTTGTTTTTTAAACTTTAGGTTAACTTTAGCATTTAAGTATACTTTACTCGGTCATTTTTGTACCCAATTGACATGGCTGAAAAGAGTTAAGACTGTTTTGGAAGTGGTTAGTAAGTAGTAGTTGTTGTTACTGGATTCCACTGAGCAGAACTCCCTCATAGATTTCCTAGGTTGTAAAATTTACAGAAGCAGATTGCCAGATATTTCTCCCACACAGTCACTGGGTGGATTTGAACTGCCAACCTTACAACTAGCACCCAAGTGCTTAACCATTATACCACCAGGTCTTCTCAGTAAGTAAATAACAGTATACTTTTCTGCCTTTCCACACAGAACTGCAGTGATAATGAGTAAACTGGTATGAGATAATCTGTTGACAGAATGAAGTCCTCAGAACTCCTGATTGTACTAACAATGGAGAGAGTAGATAGAATAAAGTAGAAAGCTAGCTTGTTTTAAGGCTAAGACACAGACTTAGATTTTCAACTTGCTTTTCAACAATGTGTCTCACCCAAGACTTGCTTGCCCAGGTAAATACTATGTTTAAGCAGCAGAGCAACAACGTTAATACTAAACACCTAAGGAAATGGTGTCTAAGAAAGCAAAGTTAAAGTATTTCATACAGAAACCCAAAGATAAACAAGTGCTGTCTTTACTGTCCACAGTAAAATTCTCTTTTGGTTGTAAAGAGTATTGCTAAAAGATGGATCTAGATAAATATAGTAGTGTTTATGATTTTGATATTACATTTTATTGTTTAACCATCTCTTTTCTTAAGGAATTTTTTTGATTGATGCCTTCTAAATAATTTTCTTTTTCCTTCCTCTCTTTCTCCCTTCCTTCTTTCCTATCTCCTTTTTTGACTTGCAGCTCCTCAGAGAAATTTTGAAATTGCCTTCAAGATGTTTGACTTGAATGGAGATGGAGAAGTAGACATGGAGGAGTTTGAACAGGCAAGTTGTACTGGAGAATTCGTTTTAATACATTTAGTGCCCTACTTATGACAGAGTTGTGTTCTGATGACTCAGTCTTAAGACAGTACTGCTGTTATTAATGCCTCTTTAGTTTTCATTATTATTGCTTTTCATGATCATATCTTTATAAATCTGATCTTTATTTGCCTTTGGGGTTTGAAACATTACATATAAACTTACAGACATATTTTAATACATTGTTGTTGTTGTTGTGTGCTGTCAAGTCGGACCTGACTCATAGCAACCCCTCCTTGGGGTTTCCGAGGCAGTATCACTATGGAAGTAGAATGCCCAACCTTCCTTCTGAGGAGTGGCTGGTGGATTTGAACCGCCAGGCTTCTGGTTAGCAGTCAGGTGCCTTAGGCACTACGCTACCAGAGCTCCCCATTTTAATACATACATACATTTAAAAAAATACACAAATCATAACAATTTATGCTAATGTTGAAGAAGAGTTGAACATTGTTGGCATTTTGTCAGTAATAGTAGTAGCTCCTCTTGTGGAAGGTTCTGGATCATCTGGATTATCACTGGGAGGATGACATTTCTAGTCAGAAAATTAGTGAGAGTTGTCCATATGGTCCTTTTCTTTTTTCCATCATATATTTTGTGGTGACATTTCACTGCTCCCATATCAGGGGTTGGGTCCATGTTTTCAATAACTGAAACCCCTGATTTAGTTTAGAAAAAACTTTAGCTCATTTTTTCATTGTAGAATTTTTTGATAACTTCTCTCCTTCCTCTTCTTCATTATTTCTTTCTTCTTCAAAATCCATTAAGTCCTGATCTATCAGTTCCCCTTCTTCATAGTCTATGAACTGTTGAACATTGGCAATATCAAGTCCTCAATTCAGCGTTATTGCCAAATGGACGATTTTTCTACTAATCTCTTCTATCATATTATCCCGATCAAATGCTTAGAGCATGTTCACATAACTCAGCAATTTTTTCCATATCCACTGCTGCATTTTCCCATAACTTCCTCCCAGGAAGATACAATATTCCAACCTGCTATACTTCAGTGTTTTTAAAAGTAAATCATAAAATTGAACATTCACAAGGGAGCATCTAAGAATGGTAACATCAGCAAATTACATGTTGCAACATTGTACATAGTACATATTACCAGCAATAAAAAAAACAAAACAAAACACTGCCCTCAAGTAGATTCTGACTCATTGACCCCTGTAGGGTATCCAAGGCTGTAAATCTTTATGGAAACAGACTGCCTTATCTTTCTCCTGTGGAGCAGCTAGTGGGTAGAACTGCCTACCCAATGCCCAATGGTTAGCAGCCCAATGCCTTAATCACAGCGCCACTAGAGTTCCTACCAACAGTAAGATGTATCACAAAAAAATAAAAGAGAGAGAGAATGGGTTGTAATTGTGGTTCAGCATAACTCACATACGTTATAAGTCAGGATCTACCTGCACATTAATATTTAACACATTTTCATGTGCCTCAGAGGTACTTTGACCTTGATCAGCATACTCAACCTTACTTTTGGTGGGTGTGGATTTTTTCCTGCCAGTCTTAAATATAAGGAATTATTTGAGCAAATGATCAAAGTCTAGGTTGTTATGCTTCCCCAACATAAATTAGACTATGTGCCTCGAGCTGGGAGACTATATGCCTATTCACTCATAAGCGCAGTCAGTCAACATTTATCAAACAGTTCCTACGTGCCAGACAGTTCCAGCGTCCAAGGATGAGTATGTTCTTAAAGTATTTCTATGAGAGAAGGAAAAGTGCTGTCATACTTTTGACTGTGGTAGATCACAACCATATATGAATACTGTTCCTCTGAATCCTAGATGATTATTATTTCTATAGAACTTCTGCCATTGAAGCCCATGGTACCTCCCTAGATATAATTATTATGGTCATCAGAAGTGGCTTCAAAACAGAAAAAAAAAAATGCAGAGGAGAAAGCATTTTTATATTCTCAAAACAAGAATGAGGCAAATATTGCAGAAAGTGGGGCAAGTATCAGGTGTAGTATATCTTTAAAATAATAAACTGCAGAGAGACATACCTTAAAACACCTCAAGACATTTAACCATGTTTGCACCCTGACTCCATCTAATACCTTCATTTGGCCATAACCTGCATTTTACTGATCCCACCAGGCAGCCTCATAATTATAAAGAGAACTAACTTAGTTTGCTATTTTTCTTAAATTTGCTTAGCCTTCCATCTCTCTCAGTCTGTTTCAATGATGCACTACAGATTTGCACTGAGGCAGTCTTGTTTGTGTCCTGAAATGAAAAGAAATATGTCACCTCATGCTTCTCTGAATTTAAGAAGCTACAGCTTACTCTCACTGAGACCCTTTCTTTTGCACATGAATCCTTCCAGCACTTCTTTTGCCTTACTCTGATTCTGCCTGAATAGTCATTCAGCTCTTCAGTTAGATCTACATGATAACGCCCAGTCTAACATTATTTTTCGAGAATGTGCCCATTACTTCTAAGTTGCCTGCTTTATTGGTACAGCATTGTTCATAACATCCCCCTTATTATTATTCCTTTAGTGTTTTCAGAATCTGTAATGGTATCCCTTCTTCCATTTCTGCATTCATAATTTGTGTTCTTTTTTTCTTTGTCTGTTGATGAGTTTAATGGGGATTGTATTAATTTCGTTGATATTTTCAAAGACCCAACTTTTACTTTGTTAGTTTTTTCTAGGGAATGTCTGTTTCCTAATGCAGTTGTAAAATGTAAGAAGGCACAGCCTCTGTGGAAAGCTGTTTGGCATTTCCTCAAAAAGTTAAATACAGAATTTCCATATGACTCAGCAGTTCCACTCCTAGGTATATAAAGCAGCGATTACTCTTACAATAAAAATGCTATCTTAAAAGGAAAAAAATAAGTCCATTTTTTAATGGTTGCAGACGATAGATTAAATAAATGACATTTACTTTAGGTAAATCAGTTGTTACTAATCTTAACTTTTTACGTATTAGGTTTTTCTTGTTGGCACTTTAAAAAGCATCATCCAAAGGATATATGTATTATTCTTTATTATGTATCCTTATATATCCCAATTTTAATTTTCTGGATATCTGTTTAGTTTTTGTTGTTGTTTAGCTTATAAAAAGGTAGTAATGACTGCATGAACTTTTTATTATTAATTTTTAAATCTGTAGCAAACAAACTTGCCTAAAAATCTCATTTATGTAGTTAGGCCACTTGGTCCTAGTCTCAAAAATTTCCTTCCTCAAAAAACTCATTTAAAGCATATTCAGAGATTGTGCTGATTCCCCATGTTTTCTTGGAGAATTGTTTCATATCAACTTTGTATTTCATGTATCATTCTAATAAATGTGTTGCATCTCTTAGATGTCAAGTGTTTGCTTATAGCTATGTTGCCTCTCTCTTAGATGTCAAGTGTTTGCTTATAGCTATGTTGCAGGGTCAGAAGTAAGTAGTGTGAAATTTTTAAGTCTCTTGAGATACGGAAGGGAGCTCTGGTGGCATAGTGCCTAAGGCATTTGACTGCTAACCAGAAGGATGATGGTTCAAACCCACCAGCCACTCCTCAGAAGGAAGGTTGGGCGTAGTGATACCGCCTCAGAAACCCAAGGAGGGGTCGCCATGAGTTGGATCCGACTCCAAGGCAGTGGGTTGGTTGGGTTTTTTGAGATATGGAAGGAATTACTGCGAGGTTAATAATTATTCTCCTCATTATGTGAAAGAGAGTTTGAGCCTCAAAAACAATTTTTTTCTTTTTCTGAATTGAGCATCCCAATTTTAAAGGTACCAGACTGCCTATGTTAGAATTCTGGTTGTTACTTGCAAGCCACATGACCCTGAGTAATATTTAATTCTCTGTGCTTCAGTCTTCTCATCTATAACATGAAAATGCTGATAGGACTTACCTCACAGGATAGGTTGGAGAATTAAAAGAGATAATTGTAACATAGTGTACCCAAATAGTAAATACAATCATTATTCTTACTTTTCTAACTTTTTTTTTTTTTTTTTTGGCATGTTTTAATTTTTTTCCCCCTGGGTGGGGGCTTGCTTCATTATTAGGTTCAGAGCATCATTCGTTCCCAAACCAGCATGGGTATGCGTCACAGAGATCGTTCTACTACTGGTAACACCCTCAAGTCTGGGTTGTGTTCGGCCCTCACAACCTACTTTTTTGGAGCTGATCTCAAGGGGAAGCTGACAATCAAAAACTTCCTTGAATTCCAGCGTAAACTTCAGCATGATGTTTTGAAGCTAGAGGTTGGTATTCTTTGACTTCAGGGGGTGGGAGCACTGTCCATCACTTGTGCAGCGAAAGCCACTGGGTTGGGTGGGCCTATACTCTGGGCATTCTTTCAATCTCCTCCAACTATGGAAACTGACTGATTTGAACCTTATGAGTGGTCTATAAGCTGACAGTAGGGAGGAAGCAGCATGTTCCATGCAGCAAGGTAGTTCTGGGACTGATAGTCAAAGGAATCTAAATTAAGTTCAGAGCAGCTCTCAATCTGACTCAAAACTGTCCCTAATTTTATGTTTTCTGTGTGGAAGGCCCCAGCAGGTAGAAATGAGGGCGATATTAAATGTCTCTTACTGTGAAATTTTGCAAAGGTGATAAACCACTGCAAACACTAAATGTCAGAGTGAAAATATATATGCTCAGAATTGCAAAGGTGTCTTACTGTTTCTAGAGATTTGCAAGTTCCTTTTCCACTCAGAGTTTAGACCCTCAATCTATTCAGGCCCTTGGCATAGTTCTATCAGAGCATTACAGTGTTCTCTATGGGTAATTATTGAATCGCATGTGTTTTGAGTTAATTGCCACTGATTCCATTCATTTCAAAACATTCCTCAAATATTTCTATATTCACTTATATCTGGAGACAAAATAGGAAATCTCTAATTTCTTAAGAGTTTTTTGTCCGTTTGTTTGTCTTACACTGATGTTTCTCAACCTCTTTTCCTAAAAAAAAAAAAAGACTACTATTATTTGAATTTCAGAATATTAAATACTATGACTAAAAACACATTAAAATATTGGCGAAAGACTACTTTGTTTTCAACCTACATTTATTACTCCTCTATCTGCTTTCCCCAAGATTCTGATATATATACTCCCACCTCCTCCACCCACCTAATCCAACTGAGACAGTTTGAAAAATTACAACTGAATTTCCATTAGTGATAGCAATGCTGTTTCATATTCATACTGTAGGAAAGGAACAGAAGTAAGGATAATAAACAGCCAGCTCAAACTTTGAAATGTGCTTTGGTACTTGCTTTTGAAAATGATGTAATTGATAGGGCATTTACTTCAAAAAGCAAAGTAATGGATCATCATAATTAAGCCAAGCTCCTTGAGGAGGTGCCTCTATTCCTTATAATAAGCGGCAAGTCCTTTATATATAGTAAAAGTTCAATTAACATTTATTACATTGAAAAGCTTTACAGCTCCCCTGCTTTATCTCCAGCCAGCACTATTGGATAGGCCACTCTCTTAGTCTAGTGCAGAGCACAAGGCTGAGTGTCAGGAAAGGTGTTTACAAGAATGAGGCTTAGGAGTTTGGATTTCAAAGATTTTTCTCTACTACATGATATGATAATATTTGCCATCTTCTTAGCAAATAAATCACTTAGAAAGATTTTCAACAGAAATAATTGATGTAAAAAAGATTATCGTATGAGCTCTTGTTTAACAGGAAAATTAGCCATAATATTTCAGTTTCTAAATACTCTAGTTAGTTGAAGTTTTGGTCTTGTCTAGTTGTCCATGAAGGGCTTTTATCTTCAGAATAGCAGCAATACTCTGATTCTTATCACTTACCTTGCCTCAGTAAACCATTATAGGTAACAGAGTTCAAAATACTCACCAAATGGAGGAAAATAATGCGCCCAACAACATTTAAAGATTAGACCTCTGGAAACTTATTTGGAAATGTTAATGCTACTATCTTCACTCTATGGAAAATCCTTGAGTGAATTTTATTTTGTTCAGTGATTTATATTGAAGAGAGAGGGGTTTTGTGCGTGTGTACGTAAAATATTCTAGAGCTTTGGTGGCGTAGTGGTTAAGGCATTTGACTGCTAGCCAGAAGGTTGATGGTTTGAAACCAGCAGCTGCTCCACAGAAGAAAGATGAGGCAGTCTGCTTCCATAAAGATTTACAGCATTGGAAACTCACTGGGGGTTGTTGTGAGTCAGAAGTGACTTGATGGCACCATCTGAGTTTGGGTTTTGGTTTGAGAGGTGCTGCAGCCAAAAAATATAGGAAAAAAAAAAAACATAGTATTTACCTTTGTGAAGCTTGCATTCTTATAGAAATATTCTAGAATACTCCAAAAGAAGAAAATAAGCCTCGTCCAACAGTTTTTCTGTGAGAATTGGTGTGTATAGGATTCAAGTCCTATGCCTTGGTCCCTACCATGGACACCATGGAATGGTCCTGTTTGAAAATGATAACATGATCTGAGAATGTAAATGATCAGAACTGTTTGATTATATAATTACAATTTAAACAAATCTATAAAATGTAATTAGAGAATAAAGCAGAAACAAGGATAGTACTTTTAAGAAACTTTGAGCAATGCAGGGTCATCCAGAGCACTAAGCAGGTGCCAGCCTGACCACAATCCAGCCTAACACTCATTCCTTGAAAAGCAAGAGGGAGTCTAAGGAGACAGAGCGTGAGACATCTGTCTTTCGTCCTAAGATGCTGTAGAGCTGAAAGCCTGTTAGAATATTGGGTAGATTGCCAATGAAAGAGGAAAGTAAAAGCAGATTAGGGATTTTGTGTGTTGTGTACCTACCTGCACATACCCAAGTACAGAAAAAAAATAGATGAAAAAGGTAGTCGTATCTATGATACTTATTCTAGAAAGTTCTCCTCTGTTTGACATTAATTTAGAATTATCTGTAGGCCTTGGGTCAAGATACAATAAAACTGTTCCTGTGAACTGGTGAAAAACTGAAATTTATAGAGACAGGCAGGTCATCATATGAGGAAGTCATTGCATGCAGTTTAGTGTTTTTTCTTTCCATAGGATGGCACAGGATTAATGAGTAAGGGCCTCCTTATTAATTACCCCTTATTTAAAGTTGCATCAATCAGCACTGTGTCTTCCCAATAAGATTTGTAATTCTTTCAGGAGGGCTTTGGAGCTAGTGTGACCTTGGTTAACATTCTTATTCAGTCATGTTCATCTCTGACATCAGATGAGTTATTTATCCTCAGAGCCTGGCTCCTCATTTGTAAAATAGGGCAGTGGCTAGTAGAATCTGCAAAATACCACATAACGTGGATGAACTTGGAGGACATTATGCTGAGTGAAATGAGTCAATCACAGAATGGCAAATATAGTATTAGTCCGTTATTGTAAAAGTCAAGGAAAGGTTTATCTATGGAAGGAAATTTTCTTTGTTGTTTACGAGCAGTGGGAGGGGAGGAGAGGGAACACTGTTAGATAGGTAGAGATAAGTATTGATTTGGGTGAAGAGAAGGGCAGCGTACCACATGTGAGTGATCAACATGGTGGCATTGAGGAAGAGGAAGACATAGAGAGGTACATAGACATGGGACATAGACATAGACAAAGACATAGACATGAGAGGTACAGACAACAAAGATGAACCCTTTTGCACATATAGTACTGCGTTGTCAGTGAAGGCAAACATGGGTATACGGGTGGATAGATGGGTAGACAGGCTGAACTAGTAGGTATGTCTATGAAGTGGGGAATATACCCAAGGTATAGGGTTGGCAGACAGTGGTTCTATAAATGTATTTGTGTGATCTATAGTAATTCCCAGGTGTATAGGACAGCTGACAGGGACAAGGTTGTAGTCACTTCTTGGTCACAGCCAGCTACCCAGAGGGACTAAGTAGTTGAACCGGTGGGCTCAGGACCATAGTTGCAGGGGACATCAAACTCAATTGGCATAACATACTACACAAAACACTGTTCCACCTCCTACTTTGTTGAGTAGCAACTGAGATCTTTAAAGCTTGCAAGCAGCCATCTAGATGCAACCATGGATCTCTCCTCATCTAGAGCAAAGAAGAATGAAGAGAACCAAAGATTAATGGAAACAATTAGTCCTAGCAACTGGTACACCATGCAGTCCACAGCCTATATGACTATGAGACTAGAAGAACTAGATGGTGCCTGTCAACCACTCGGAGAGGGATCTATGTAGGAGATCCTGGATGGAGAGGGAGAACAATGTGGAACAAAACTCAAAATCATTTGGGGGGAGAAAAAAAGGGTACCAGGTTTTCTGGTTCGATAGAGCCTGGTGGAACCCCTGACACTATGGCCCCTAGCTGCCCTTCAGGTCTGGAATTGAACCCACACCTGTGGCTTTCAGCCAAACAAAAGAGAGGCATACGAGTTGAACATTTACCTGAGGTAGATACACTTCTTGGAGAGATCAATCATGGAAGAAAGAAGGGCTGTTTATGCACAGGGAGACAGCTCAGGGGGCAGGAGTGCATGGAGGGATGGACACAAGGAAGAGGTAACTATCGGGAGGAAGTGGGAGGGGAGCTGTTGCATTGGGGTAAGTTGTAGTCAATGTCATGAGACAAAGTGTATGTGAACTGCTGTATAGAAAGTGAATTTTCTCTGTAAATTTTCACCCAAATCACAATAAAAAAAAACATAAAATAAAATAGGGCAATAGCTAAGCGAGATGATGTTACACGCCTGACATCAGCTGGCATATGCTAAACCTTTAGCAAGTGTTCCTTCACTTTGTCTTGTATGCCCTCTGACACCTAGTATGGTGTTAAGTGCATAGTTGGCAATTAAAGAGATCATCTCAGATGAGTGATTGAAAGCCTTTACTTCCATTTTGAAAAGTGTTCTGATAAAACATCTGGAAAGTAGCAGCAATTTTTATTTTTATGAAATACTTTTAATTTCACTTTTCAAAGTTTGGGTAATTTCTCTCCTTACTGAGTATGAAATATCATTTCATCATCATAGCTAAGAGGAAAATGGAAATGATTAATAGTGTCTTAATAACTTTCCATCATTCCTTTTCTTGCTAAAGGAGCTCTCTTACTGGTTTCAGTTTTAATACTTATGTACATACTTTAAGATTTCATATATCAAGGAGATTTCTTTTTCCATGAAGTTATTTCTAGCTTTCTTACCACAGTAGCTTGGAGAGTGAAGAGAATGCTATTTAGCTGTCAAACTTCATTTGCAGAGGGAACAGGGAAGAGGGAGAAGCCCATGAGCATTTATAGAGGGCCTCCT